AACAACACCAACAAAAGGAAAACAATTCACAGCAAAAAGGGCAAAAAGCGACAACAACGATACAATAAAACAACATGCAATATAGTTCAGCACAGTTAACTAAAATGATACCAAAATCACAGACTCACTGACTTGGGCCAACTTGAACATATAAATCCAATAATATATACAATTTTACATATGAGTTATTGTTAAAGGACACAAATGTTCAAAAACTTTGTTATAGGTAACAGTAGTCAATAATAGTATATCCAGGGTTTAAGCGTTCGAAAGTTAACGCAATTCAATAATTTCCAGAACTTCGTGGTGAGCAATAACAAAGAAATGAGAGTTTTGTATATTACAGCAAAATGTGGAGATGGACTGGCCATACCCTGAGGAAACCATCAAGTGACATCACTAGACAAACCCTCGAGTGGAACCCGAAAGGGATGCGGCGAGTTTGTCGTCCAAGGGTGACTTGGAGGAGGTCATGCGAGGAGGAGTTGAAAGCGTGTGGGAAGACTTGGAGCGGGGTGAAAAAGTTGGCAGAAAACAGAAGGCAATGGAGGTGCGCAGCTGAAGCCCTATGTTCCTCTAGGAACTAAAGGATAAAATAATAATAATAAATTACTACAATTATTATTATTACTATTGTCACTCTGACTGATTATTATAATATTATTATTGTTCCTTTAGTTTCCGAATGGAACACGATTTGTGACTTTTCTATCTTCTACGACTTCATTGAGTTTCCCTCATTTTATAAAGAATACAGAATGTCTCTGAGACTGCATAATGACAAAAAATTACCAAATAGCTTCATGTCTTATATAGTCCAACAGTTACGAAGTATACGATGTTAATTATTTGTTGAAATTCTGCTACTATGGATTGACTCCAGTATGCAGAAATCATTAGAGAAAAACTCAGCAATAGCAATGTATATTATAACACACAATCACACAACAATGTGGGATTAGCTACACTTCCAAAAAGCAGTAGAGGCAGGTGGGAGGTAGAGGTTGACCAATCAATCTTTGTTCACAGAATTTATACCTAACGTGTGGTCCGGGGTTGGACTTTCTTCTGACTCGCTCCTACCACGTTGTAAGTTCAGTAAAGAGGAACGTTCGAGAATGAGGCTAGCAACCCCACCCCTTAAACGCTACTGAAACTTCAGACCCTAAATTCCACTCGGAATGCAAGGGAAATAGACAGAAATTAGCAGTAGGAATAATACAGCGCCAATGGCGGGGATATGGAAATTAATACTATCAAAGGATAAGAAATAATAGAATTGTATAAATGAAGTTCGAACATACACAATAAAGCTTACTGTTTTATAGTTCACATTCACACCATGCCACATCTTACAAAAGCATTTTTCTGTTTGAAAGCTGTGCTAGTTTTTTGATATCGGTGATTATAATCCCTTCGAAAACTAACCATAGAAAATATTCTCATTTGTTTTATAAAGCATCTCGTCCTAGTACACACTAAAAATCAAATAATATCGAATGGAGTCGTTCCATAGAAGAAGAAGGCCTTTTCTGTGATTTCCTCCCCTTTAGTTGTCTATTCGTATTCATGCATATACAATACTTTTATTAAGAAGGATATTAAAAGCAAAGGATGCCCTGTCATTAGCATAGTTGCTAATATTATTCAATGCATATGACAATCTGAATAAAGATGACAGAGTCACGCAATGATTCGTAATCACTAAGCATTTAGAAACAAAGGGGATGTGATATTGCTTAACAGGTGAAAAGAATAGAATGGACACTGCTGAAGGCCTTATCACTCAGGTAGAGGAATCAGAGCTCTACACTTTAACCACTTCTTCCCTCATGATAATGACCACTTTTTAAACTTTTTCGAACTGTTGAGCAGTTTCACCTTTCCTTTATTTCTATCCTCATTCCAATTAGAACTTATTAACTCATTTATCGCACTAAGTAACTGCATCACTTTGATGTAATTTCCCTTGATTATTATTGCCAAGTATGTGCATCTTGATCTTATTGGAACTCCTAAGCTGGATGCGGCTGCATCCTCACTGAGTTATGGTATTCCCTCTGAGACTCAGATCTCGTTATTTCAAAAGCCAAAGAGCTGTTCAATAAACCAGTAGGTCATACAACCAATCAAAGAGAGACACAAATTAATAACTCAAGCAATATGCTTATGACGATTTATATTTTTTATTTCTATCCTCATGCTTGTAAGCACTATACATAACTATTATGGTACAGCGAAAGAAAATGAAATCGTTGACAACAGTTTTTCCTTCAATGAATGACTTATTTTGTGTTTCATCATTGCCTAGATGGAGATTATTCACAAAGTAAACATTAAAATGAGTTTTTCAAATAAATTCAATAAAATAAAAGGTTTTTGTATTTCCCAATGAGTGACTAACAAAACGATATTGTTTTTACTGACGTTTCGCTGTTTAATACTGCTAATAGCTTTATTAAAGTGGTATTATTAAACCAGAATTTACCAAATCTCAGCTTATACATAACAACTTAATCATCTTCATCAACAGAGGGGGGCAGTTTTGCGTTGTAAAGCTGGCCAATTGGTAAAGATAACAAAAGCAGGTGTAGATTGTTGGATTTGATAAGTGTATAAAATAATAAAAGCAGCATGTGTAAACATGATGGAATCGCTTATCACATCCATGTTAGTTTTGTCGCTTCATGGGGGAGGGGGCTACTGTAACCAGATCAAATTCTGTTTTAGTCCATCGTTCCTATTTAGACAATTTGGATTCCAATTGATATTGTTAAATGTAATAATAATAACCTATTTACTATGTTAACCGAAAATAAATTTAAACTGAAAAAGTTAAACGAATGTCTGTTTTGATACTGTCTTCAGAAATAATGTTATAAAAAGAGTACATATAACCATTATATGTGATCGATATAGTTACCATGTAATGAATTAAACAAACTCTTAATAGGTAACACGTTCTCCTTCTTCATAAATCCGAAATACTAAAACAATAATACAAGACTCACACTTTTTATGTGCATTAGTGTAAGTAAAAACGAAGTAGGTTTGCTGTCATTCGTCATTCTGTCTACAAAAGTAATGTCAAACAAATCAAGCTAATGAAAGAGGTTCTTTCTAATAAGGGGAACTATCTTTTTCGACTGAAAGTGACCAGCGCTTCCCTTTATAATAACAAGAAAAATTCTTACAAACCAATCAAACTAAGGAAGTTTTCAAAAAATGAGTTTATGTTAAAAATAAGAACAGTTTTTACAACAACAAAATAATAATAAAGCGCTTTTGTAGGAAATATCACCCTTTTAATTATTCTTTTCTTCTTGTAGTAGTAATATTTCAGCTTAATTCAGTTGAAACATAAAAATTTGTAGCAAACATGTAAACCGTACCACAGTCATACCATGCTAAAATTCCATCTGAGCAATTCGCCGTTTCCATTACTATCGATAAAAATATGACGTGATTTTGTTAAAATGAACTTCTAAACAAAACATGATAGACTTGAAATTTCAACAACAAATGACCTTCACTTTGCTACTGTACGCTGACATGACAAACAGTAAATTTCCAAGTCCAAATCTGTTTTTGCATTATTTTTCAATGCACTCACTTTTAAAATGAGAAATTACATTGTACAAAAACCATATAATACTATATTTAAAATATATATATATATATATATGAATAAATGTATTGGACAACAATCGAAATAGGTTCAGTTTTTTAAACAAATTTATGTCAATCTGCTGATAAATATTTATTATTAATAATGAATATAATCTCAATAGAAATGAAGGAGTCTATACAAGAGGCAAAAATAAACCAAGAAGAGCATTAAACACAGGTAAAGCATTTCACAAAAGGGAAAATGTGTTTAATTATTCTTCTAACAAATTTTAGTCCAAGTAATCATGAGAAAAAACGAAGCATAACCGGTTACAGATTAAAAACCGATACAGCAAGGAAGAGAAAAGAATGAAGAAACAAAGAACTCAAACCACGAAGAAATTCAAAATCGAGGTCCAAAGGCCAATGAATATACTTTGTTACATGTAATAAGCAATACATAAATAGTATTCAAGTTACACGTGTGCATAATGTAAAATTTCAAATTTTATACGGTTCCATTTTTGGTCAAATAAATCGTATTGTATTATCTCTTATTGATATGGAAATTATAAGTTAACAGAAAGAGGAAGTACATAATCTAAATGGAAGAAAAAGGTATCTACTGGAATTTTTACTCTAAAGTTAACAAAATATTACACACAAACTCTAATGAACATTAGAAATGTGAACGAAAGAGCTTTTCTGTAAAATAAAACAAACAAACAATGTATCGATTTAATATGCATTAATACGGACGGATACATCGAATCACTCTCTTTTTCCATTCCGGTTTTAAACAAATTTATATTCGTAAAAAGGAATAACGAAGATGGTGAGTGAATGAGTGAGTGTATCTATTATCCTTTTGCTTGATTGATAAAGAGAAAAATAAGCGAAAACAGGTAAAGGAATCCCTCTAATATAAAAATCAATTACATTAGCCATATACACACACACACACGCAGAAGCAGAAGGCAGAATCTTGTTTCACCTGACTGTTATGTAACACATCAGATGAGATGATATAAGCATTGTTAATCAGTTCATTTTTTCGCCCGTTTAATAAGATCAGAAATAATAATACTAATAGTCATAATAAAATAAAATAGAAGAGATGCATTATCAGTAATGCTGTATAGTAATCGAAAAGTAATGTTATGTATAGAAGAACAATATGCATATCCATATGTATAAGTGAACATGATTTGCAAGGTTGGTAAATAACACAGACAGAGAATGTGTAAAAGAATGTACAAACTATAAAATTAAATTAATATATCTCCCATAGTGAAGCGAGTGTTCGCCTAGAAAGAAAGAAATATGGGCAGTCTATAATGCATAATTTGTAAATGTGTACAATTCAATGTGTCCAATATTATTTCGATAGGTTATACATTTTCATGTAGACTAATTTCTGGATAATCATCAACTGAGAAGCTTCTTAACAATAATAAACCTAATATGAGACCAGCCATCTGAAACAGAAAATAATATACACGTACTTATAGATTATATCCAAGAAATACGCTTTTAAAACCTCTAGAAAAAAGCCACAAAGTAGATTCCTAAAAATATATTAGGCGTATTTTCCCTACTCTTATTTAATTTCATCTGTTAGATTTAGTCACGAACCTACATTAGTTACAGAGAAATTGAAAACCAGAGAACAGTGGATAGCTGTTTCCTTTCCCGCGACTCCACCAGAGATCGAAAGCGAGAACTTCAGGTTGCGCCTTCATTCACGATTTTTCACTACCTCTTCATCGCATCCATATAGTATCCATCAATCAACTGGAGATCAGGTCCATCATGGTAAAGCGAAGTGGATACTTATCGAAGGTATTGATGGTGATTGAGCTTTATCATGAATCGACAACAGTAGGATTCACCGGTCCTTGAATTCCATCCCGTGGCCGAATATTCAATGAGCTTGGTGTCGTAATCTGAAGGTTTCAGATTCGCTCTCTAGTGGAGTAGCGAATGTACACTGATGAAGAGACCTCTCTGGTTTTCAATTATCTCTAACTGTTTTCAGTCCGTGACTAAATCCAACTGATGAGATTAATCCAAATCCACACAGATTTCATAATCTGAACACCTATTTAAACAAGATGAAGCCTAATAAATTTATAGAATACATTTAATCCCAAATAGTTCATCGGATTTTCACAACCTGTGATCTAGGTAATAACGATAGCAAAGTAAACGAATCTGTGCATAAACATACCCAAATTTGAAAGCAGGCACATCACAATGACTAAACGGTGAAGTTCTGTCTATTTTGTAACGATTAAATCACGCCTGTGACAAATAAGTTAGATAAAAAACCGAAGTTCACACTATGCTATAAATGTAAAATTGAAGTTCACTGATAACACAGGAAAACAACTTTGTCTAGTGTGCTTTCCCAACGAAACTACAATACAGAGAGTGAAATCTCAAATAATCCCTATATGCTTTGAAAGAAATTCAGACAATCTGACACCAAGCTTTCTGTCTCATATTTTTCTTCATTATCAATAAAAGGATCTTCCTTCTAATTGTTCCTATAACTCACTGAATTTAAATCTGCGGTCTTCATTTATTATGTGTTAGAGATTTCTTATTGGCAACATGTTCCAGTAATTAATTCACCAAACTATGGTTCTGCTAGCACTTCTATCATTTATCAACATCAATCTGAGCTAAAAATCTTCACTATTTTGAAATCAACTTTATCGTTTTGTAAATGGATGCCAAGAGGGCATCGAAATGTAATAAATTCACGGTGTTGTGCAAACTTATCATTCTTAAGCATTGCTTTGCAGGGATTTTGTTAGTTCCAGGTTCGCTTATAAGCCGACATGAACTAAGGAATTTTTGGAAAATCAGCGAGTATTGGACAGTTGTTTCGTTCACATTTGGGACTCTTCAGTGGCAGATGCCCACCGAGGTTCGAACACAGGGCATTTCCATCACATGGCGAACTCGTAGACCATTCAGCCATTGGTACTTGGTCTACGAGCCCGCCCTGGTCATCAGTTCAAACCGAGGTGGGTGTGCCCTACTGAAGAGTCCAAAACCTAGATGAAATACCTGTCGGGTACTCCCTGGTTTTCCTATGGTTCTCTAAATAAAGTCAGCTCGTGATCAAACATTATTAACTCTCACTTTGATTCAGTACTAATAAGAAATAAAAGATAAATAATGAATGCAAAATCTTCGACACCTACTTTACAATACTCACTAATTTTCATCTATTCACTAAGTGTCAAAATTGTTAGACTGTACAATATAGAGGTAATGTAAACACAGCTTTAATGGTAAATATCTGGTTTTAAAATATTTAAAATTTCGATTGTTAAAAACGAAAGAAGGCACATATTTAGCAAAAAATATTGTTCTGATTTACGCCTTCATTACACTCTATTCCGGTATGCATAACTCTAAATATCCATTTTAAACATTGTAGCCAGTAACTGTGAATTGTAGGTCAATCATGAGTTTCAAATGTTTAAAAGCCATATCTCAAAGTTTCAGAGAAACTTTTCACGACCAAAATATGATATTTATAAAATATCATAGAAAACACTACTTTATAATAAAAGAAGGAGAATAAAATTTATCAAATCTTTAGAAGGCTTAACACTTGAAGTGAGTTTTCCCCTTCAGATCCAAATTTTTTTTTTTTTTTTTTGATTTACAGCTTGATTCCACACTGTATTTTCGGTACAAGTATGGAATTTTCAGCATGGATATCGGTAGCCCAAATTTCGCAGGCCGACCATAGATATCAGGTGTGCGTCGGTGAGGGCTCGAACCCCGGACCATGTGCATGGTCGGCGAGAGTCCTAACCACTGTGCCACCGACGCACATATGTTCATACTTTCTCTGCTATAATGTTAAACAGATTTCATTGAGAAGTATTGTTATTGACTCTTAAATTTTATGATGAATGATATGAATTTGACAACTTAAACATGCTGTTTGGTTCAAAAGTAAATATCCCCATCGCCAGAGGATGAACTTGCCACGTCTAGAAGTATACAAGTTGACATTAACCAGAAATATAAAAATATTAATTATTCTACCAAAACCTCATAACTAAATAAAATCGGGAAGCTATTAAAATATATAATTAAATCGATTTATCTTTCCAGTTATCACACTAAATTTCGAAATATTATTACCCTATGCGTGTTACGTGAAGAGGTGGAAATCACCTCTCCTACAATTTTAAAGAACCGATGCAAAAAGAAATAGTCTGTGAGGTCAACACCAATCTTAAATTTGCTCAGGGCAACACGCCTAAACCTGGACTTCATCCCCGACAGTTTAAGTTGTTTTTAAATTTGCTAAAAATCAGGTTTCAGAGTGGTCATCTGGGTTTCTAGACAATTTACATAAGGTAATCATAAAATACAATAGAAAAAGTGTCTTAAAATACACTACCAGTATGGAAAATTTCATTGTTAACGGGGAATATATGATATTACTATCATATTCCTGACAAGGTCAATAGAAGCTGTACACCAACATATTTAGGGAAAGAATAGTGATGCTGTCATCATAGCCATTATTCTTCATGAATTACTGCTAATATATCAGAACCATGAGCATAGCTTTTACATGCGATAACTCTAACTATATACATAGATAACCTCACTATAGTTTTTCAAATACTCCCCATTTTACCAGATTTGTTTTTCTTCGCCTTTTTCAAATCATCTATTGAAACGTGTAATAACTAAGCGGGACTCTTGATATCTTCCGACTGATGACTCTTTTATTATGCTTGATTAGAACAACGAAGAATAAAAGCTGAAAAGAAACACAGTGATGTGAATCCATCCCTTAAGTTCATTCATGATGAAGAACATCATCTTGGCTTTCTATCAGAAAGAGAAGGTTGACTCAAGAAAGACGTACATAAAAGCAACATGTTTACGCGATATTATCCATATCGCTTCAGTTTTTTACCAATCCACCACTAGATCAGTTACATCATATGTCTCACAAGATTCTGCACTAGCGATGCTTTTTAAAGAAATAGTCAGAAAACATCCATGACAACATGACTAACAATAGCTATTTAATTAGTTTCGTGAAAATGCCCAGAAAATTGAGACTATTCAGCGTTAAAAAAGAAGCAAGTGGTCATAGGGCTTCCGTTTGATTTGAACCTTGCTGGCGAATTTTTATATCATAGGCTATTCAGTATGGGTAGAAACAATTATAAGGTTACTACCCTTTGTTTATCATTTTTCAACTAACCGGTCTGTATTGTTCAGTAGGCAAATGAATCATACAGTACCATTCCTACATGTGCTTACGAATTTCTCTACTCTTCTAGTGACAGCTACATAGGACAAAACATAAAGCTATTTAAGAGACTTATTGCTGAGCATTTTTCTCTGCAGATCCAAAATGGTCCAACAGAATTATACGAAACTGTTATTTCCCTTATTGAACTGATAGTGGTTACAAAGTATAGAAAGAAATCGCTTTCAAGCTTGTTCATCATTTCCATCGAAAATAGTGAATAAAATTCCAGATCACACAAAAAGACAGATGTAGCTATGGGAGGTCTGAAAAAAACCCTTACTACTGTATTTTAAAAAGGTTCTATTTCGTTTGCTGAAGATAAACAACAGTTTAAGACACCACATTTAAGATGATCAACAACTAGCTTTGATTTTCCCGCTCTCTTTCTCCAAGTAAACTCAGCAATTATAAACGATTTTGTATATCTGATTTCATTCTTAATTTTGTATTTGCCGTTAGCTGATTACACTGGATGGAAATATTCAGTCTCCTTTGATATGGCAACTCTTAGTACGGACACTTCGACGATATCTGAAGATTAACATGTTGTCATTTGACGGATGGTGACTAACAGAGGAATCCAGGATGCTCATATCTTCCCATTCGAGACTCGTTAGTTTAATTTATTAGCGTTCCCAATGAGTGATGCTGTTTCCATTGGTACTCAAATCCAACACTCATCGTTTCAAACACCAAAGCGTTATCCAACAGGCCACTTGGGCCAAGAAAGAAGCCGAAAATTTCGGTCCGTTATGGCCAATCACTGGGAAATGTAAAATTAAATAAATAATAACTGGCACAACTTACACTATAGGTGCCTGTCATAGCCCGAGTAGTCTGGTGTATGACGATTTGGCATCCAAAGTGATGAGTGCAGGGTTCAAGTCTCCGTGGGAATAACATAACTCACTGGGAATGCAGGTAAATCTAGATGAGGAGTGCCAAGCATGAAAAAATACACATACTGAATTCCACTGCTAGTTGCCATCCCCATATGATTCCGTGTATCACTAAACTAAACAAAATCCACAATTATAACTGGAATTTCTTTGAAATATCTACCATTCTCTAAAAGTTAGCAAACAAAATATATTGCTTTGACAAGTTTAATTAAACGCTTCGATGACAGCAATCTATTAATGTTGACTTCGACTTTATAATGAAAATTAA